TCTGTTGCTGTAACAAAAGGAGCCACTACCTGTGCCCTATAAGTGGTCATCATAATCAAAATTAGAAAAAACATAAAAAATGTGTTTATTTCTGCTGTTACGACTGAAAAGCACGATAATATTAAATTTTGACGAGTATAATGAGTTTATGTGATCTGCAACGATGTCCGCAGGCGAGGCGATAATGGAGAGGCTCAGTCCTTATTCCAAAGGATACACTAGTAGATGTTGATGTCTTTTCGCCCCAATCCAATGCGGAATATAACAGAAGCATATTAGTTGATGTCCGTAACATGCAAATTTACAAAAACCCATCATTAGTCAATAAAACGCTAGCACCATCCATTTTTTGGAACGCAAAGTAGGTGTTACAAATGAGATGAAGAAAGAGAGTTTAAAAATACATGAGTGGAGTCGAAAAACGAGGTGTAACATTAAGCCTCACAAAACCAGACGTCAAACTACTGATAATTACCACTAATATGCAAGGTCTCACATAAAGGAATTGCGCACCTCTAATTGAATTGCTCTCACCAAATGCGTCGACATTTGTCTGTCGTCATTCTCTTACCTTGCAGGCAGCCACCGCGCTCCTCCAGCGGTTGGGTGACCTCAATTGATGCTTGTGTTCCCAGTAAGCACACTCATCCATCAACTGAAAAATATACGGCACATTTGTCACTTTTGGGGAGCCTTGCGTGATATAGTACCAGTCAACCGGAAATTTAACCTAAGACTCTGCTTTGACAGAGAGCATGAAAAATCTAACCAGACAGCTGGCATTAGATGTTCAAAATAGCATTAAAGTAGGTCCTAATTGCTTTCTATTTAACATTATCAGCAGCCCATAAAATCAAATAAAGGCCCTTCAGGACCTATGCAACATTTAACGTTCAACGATGGTTATTCCTACCGACGCCTTATTGATAGAGGGCCGAACGACATTTGACAGCAAAAAATCCATGAAACAGTGACTAGACAAGTCCGAAGTGGTAAGTATTCTCATAAATGAGATCATCAAAGTAGTTCCTCGTATATCACCACCTCCTCTACCTTCAGGATACGTGTTTGCATAAAGTATGCAGTGAGCAGTGAATGAGCCGCCTGGCCATTAACTCCAGTCGCTGCGTACTCCTACTACGATTGGTTAAATGCTTATTTTGACAAAATTCGGTCAGTATTTACAGCATTAGTGACTAGGCTCACGTCATTGGCCCCTGTGGATGAATGGCAATTCGATCAAATAAAGACACAATTGAATGTTTTCATCAGACTAGTCTGCTTGTTCCAACGCTATGGCTACAGAGGTAAAAGAGAACACTGAATTTGCTGCATAGATGGCAGCTTCCGTGCCCTTTTTTCTTCCACAACAACATGAACATCAAAACGCAGCTTACAGACGCCAGATTCTTCAACATTTTCTTTACAAAATGGCAAGGCTGAAGATAATTTTAACTGCAAGGTGTTTTGCCGGTTAGCTCAGCCTCTATTCCATGCAATTCTGCCTATGCACTCTAATTAGAGGAGAACACATTGAGACTGTTCGATTCCTAAGGCTTTAGTTTGGTCTACAATCAGTAATTGTGGCTTGTTTGTTGGGAAATTGGTTGCGCCTATTCTAGTAGGGGTATGATGCATACAGTTGTTTATCTACCACTCACGCAATTTTTGATGATTTACTACCGTTGAGGAGGAAGTGGTGGATACGATATAGGGTTGCCCATGTGGTCCAGATAAATGCCAGAGGTGCATTACCACAGGAACTATACTTAAGGTAAAGCAACCCGTGAAAAAGATTGAATGGAGAGAGAAGGTTAATTGATTAAAGGGTGTATGTAAAGTGGCGAGTCGTACATCCTCCTAGGTAGTGCGTTAGCTTGATGATATAACAAGACTTACCGCGTTACACTCTTCCTCGTCCATAGTTGGGGAGTAGAGCCTCACACAATGCACTAGTTCCCGCTGTTAAAGTATTTTATTCACGAGAAGATTTAGAAAGTCCTTCATTTTACCAATTCTTGCCTTTTTCTACATTTATTTTACTTAATTTATAAGAGCTGCCCAAACCCATGCTTTCCTGTTAATCTTGGCACATATTAATTGTCACCAATCCGAATTCTGTCTTTCTGTTTGTGAATTTGATCTGCAAATGCTTTCCAATTCCTTGCATTAAAGGTTATACTGCATCTCTGTTATGCTCATCTGTGGTCCGATTTGCGATACAGTTGTATGTATTCGGCACTTGTCCAATGAGAGACTTGCAATTGCATCAAGAGTGTGTAGGGGCAAATTTTGTCCTCAGATATTTAGACGCCAATCTACTGATAAATGCCACTGGTGTACGCGATAGCACTCGAAGGAACTGTGCACCTCTAGTTTGATTGCTGTCTACAAGTGTATCGAAAATTGGCTCCTGTCATTCTCCTACTTTGCAGGGAACCACAACAATTCTGGCTGTTATATGACATTAATTGACACATATGTTCCTGGTAAATGAATGGATTTTAGAACTTCTGTTATTCAGCTCGTTAAGAGAAAGGATTTTTGCCATCCTCTATACTGGGTAAAAATGGCCTGAAAGTTGGTAGACTAAGGGTGCATTTAAAATCATTGAAGACGATGGCTCAACTGGTGCAGACGTACGTTGGGCTTATATGCAATTTAAATGTTTAATCATACAAATGTCTGTGATCCTTAATTGTAGGAATCAAGAGAAGGAAGAAATTCGGCCTTCTTTCATGCCAAGTAAAGTATCACTAAACAGCCACCCAGATAACGAAACAATCATTCAGAGCTTTAGTTTTTTTGTGGCGACTGACTTCAAAAAAGTTGTTAAGGAAGAGCTAAAACGCTAATCAAAATGTTGCATTTAGGCACAAGCAAAACACATAAATAATTGACGCCGAGCCTTTTGCACAGGTCTACTCATCTTCCACGCATCGCAGCCACACTACGAACCACTCAAGGTCACTCGAA